CGACGAGTTGATCTCCTCTTCCGGTCGTATAATGACCACTTCGGCTCTTCAAGGCACCACATAACACTTTAAATGACATCTCGTCCAGCTCAAAAAGAGCATCTGCTGCAGGAATAGCCTCGAGGGTAACGTCGCCATCTTTCTCCCCGCCATACCGTGACGAGGATGTAGTGGTGTGCACCATCGTCTTCGTCAGACGCACCTTAGTCAGGGTCGACCCCAGCGTCTTACAGCCCGGATACGGCGTCACTGTCGCTTCTTCAGAGAGGTTGAACGTCTCGGCGAAACCAGTGTGAACACGCACTCGGCGTCGTCCAATGTCAGCCCACTTCCAGCTCCACCGGATTCCTGATGTTGTGAGAAACATCCGACGAACAGCTGCCTTTTCCGCAGTCTTCGTTCAGTAGATAACGTGCCACTCCACGTACATTTGAAGGGCGTTGCCAGTGATGTGTGAGACCTCGTGTGACCACGACACTTTTGGCATGCAGCAACTGCTTCAAACGTGAGCATTGCTAAGTGGTTTACGTGCCACGACTGTCTTCCAACGTCAGTAAAAAAGGAGACTCTGTAGTGACACTTACAAGGGCTGTGCGGGGATCAAGCGTTGACAGACATCGCACATCTTCACGTATCGTATAACCTGTGGACACTAAAATTAGGCACTGATAGATCAATAGTGTTTTTAAGTCCAAAGTGACCGGCAATCGGCGTATCATGCGTCTCGTACGGAATTTCGTGCTGTAAGTCATTGTTGTGGAGAACCACAATCAGTGACCCGTCGCCAAGTGCAACGTTTAGTGAAAGAGACAATTCTTCAATGCATTACGATACATTCATGATTTGGAGTGACCAGGAAGCTTGTCATGAAGATTTATACCACTCGATGAGGGAGCCTTGATTATCAGATCACATTGTTCATTCTCAGTATACGCTCGACGTATCACACCGAAATCAACGTTTTCGATATAGCTGATATAAGCTAGCTCATAATCCGGACGACGTGACCATGCATCAGCCAGTACGTTTCGTTTTTCAATTTTAAACACGACCACGAAGTTGCATATTGCAGTGAATGACAAACAGCGAGCCACCCACTGTGATAAGTAAGGAGGCTGGACTGACTATCGCAAGCTTGCGTGATCCGTGTCGATGAAAACTGGAGTTGAATCCAATTGGAGAGCACGAAACTTCACCGCGCATACTCCGTTACCAAAAGCTCCTTGTCGCGGACAGGGTGGCTTTTTCTGCTAGCTTTAGCTATCGCAAACTAAGCGACAAGACACGATCATGTCCTTCTAAACCTTTCGCAACAATGCACAATTGATTGCAAACATGTTTTTACCATTGATAAAGTTTGCTATGACCACTTTGAATCATTCACGCCGAATATACATTATTTCTTATCGATGGTTGCAAAACCCGCAAGGACCGCTTTGTGTGATGGGTGGTGTCTCTGATGTAAGTGTGGGAAAAGGTTGGCAGATCGTTGCCTCCCAAATTGATACAATTAATGATTCGATTGTGAAGCGCAAGTACAAGGCCGCCCTGGAATCATTTATTATTACTCGTGTGAATGTGATCACACGGGCGCGAGACGCAATGGCGAACGCGCAAGACCTGCAAAAAAAATACGCAGATGTACGAGGTCGTCACGTCAAAGTGTCTTTTATTGTTGGGGATAATGTACGGAGTAGTAGGCTAGAGAATAGCTTCGAGCTTCAAGCTTGAGACCGCATCGTATGCTAGGTTTTTAGTACTACTTGATACTACTTGGTACTAAGAACGTAGCATACGATGCGGTGTCAAACTTGGGAAGCTCGAAGCTATTTCCTAGCCTTATCTATCCATTCCAAGTAGTGACATGCCACGGAATTGCTTACACAATCGACCTGCCAAGCTGGCTAAGGACACACTCAACGTGCTACGTTGGGCACATCAAGTCTTTTCGTCGCGACTTCCAACCTGGATGTAGCGCAGTCTAATTCAAATATGACTTCAGGGCCACAACTTCGGCACGAGGGTCAAAAGTCGAACCTATTAACGTCATCGCCCCAGCACAATCCTCAGATCCAAGAGCATCATCGTATTCATCGAAACCAACGAATGATCGTGCCAGTCGGAACGTCGATAGGAAACATATGGCTGGTGATTGAGGTGGCGATTACTCCGGGAAGTATATTCACCCGAATCAGCACGACGTTGATCGGGAGAAGGCGAAGGAGGTAGGCCCACTAAGTACGAAGTAATCAAGCTTTGCCCTTCCGCAGATGAATGCTGAAAGATTACTTTCTTTCTCCCCAGCATACTTCGCGTCCATCCGCACTAGCAAAATCATTGAGTTGCTAATACAACTCATTCGGGTGCCCACCTGGTCCTCTTCATTATTCGCATTTAACGGGACACAATCACTTTCTCCAAAGAAATAAGGTGGACACTTAAGGTCTTGCTGCGAGCCGCTTTTCGAAGATCTTTGATGAAGATGACTACCGTCATACAGACTTTGACGTCTTTGCGACGATAAGATTTCTAAATTGCTGAGCAGAGTTTACTTGCTCTCGTCTACCTTTACAAATGTGCTATAGCTTTAAGTGCAGCGAAAACGCCTTGTCAAACAGTGCGAATACTCGTAACAGCGGTCACTTCAAATCCTTTCATAATTAGAAATGCTTCTTTTACCCCGGTCTTACACGTTTGCGGCATTATCGTGCGCGATCTCGTTGCTTTGAGCTCGCGGGCGTACCACTTTATCGCTTCGTTTGGAGCATGGCTCAATTCATGGTTATCTCCGCCGCCTTCGGTTACAAAGATAATTGATTCTCGCGGACAGTTATCATCAAGGATCTCACATTGGGCACCGTAAATTTTACTGCCGGCGCACGACTAAAATATACCTAGAAATGGTTCACCAATGCATTATCGAAGCTAACGAGCGCTTCCAAGAGCAATTTATCACCCCCGCATTTTTTGGTCCCCAGTTCCCTGATCCTGTCGGGGCCAGCTATAGTCACGATCTTATTAAGCAGGTCTTGTTGTTTTGGGACAGGTGACGGCGGTCACGCTCCATCATCGCAGAGCATCAGCCGCCATAGGATTGACTAGAAGTGCCACCAAGCGCAACGGTGTTACATGCACTATGAGGACATCTGCGCTAATAAAAGCACAGAGGTTCAGTTCGTACGCTTCAAACATAACTGCCTTTACCGTAACATCTGTCTAGATTACCTTGCTATTACAAGAATCCGAACAAATAGGACTTCTTAACTTAGACTGACACCAAATATAAACATATCATCATCTTTCGTATGTAGATGTCTTTATTGTCTGATGTGCGGAAGAAGACCACATGTATCATTAATTCCTCCTTTTCCAAGCTTTCATTTTAAAAATGTCGATACTTCCTTACTTTGGAGATTTCTGAATTACGAAAACGTGCATTGCAGTATTGTGCGTGCTACATTTGATCAAAACGTGAAATGTATAGGTAAACGCGACAGCAGTACTTACCTCGTTATAGTACGCATTTACCCGACCGCCGCAAGCGCAGGTGGCGCTTTGGAGGGGGCGCTACATTATGTGGGGTCAGAAAGCGCTTGTGAAGCAATTCCCTGAGGCTACTTTCTTGGTGTGAGCGAAATGCCCGGACGCATAGGCATGTAGGACTCCACCTCAGCGCAGCGAGCAACTTTAGAGAATTTAAAGGTAATAAGATGATGTGATGAAACTGACAGGAGTCTTAACGAGTCTTGCGACTTAAGACAGGCAAGCTGGGGTCCCCGAACCAGCTATAGCTCATTATTGACGAGCTGGATATCGTCGTCAGTCACACATTAAGGTGTCACAATTCTCTCCGCCGCATGGTGTAGTACTGAGATTGCATCTCATGCGAAGGTGCGATACCGCATCGAGAAAGCCAATTCCTCAGTGGACGGCTTACTTGTACATTTCTAGATTGTGACCGAGATATTGGGCGAAGAATAGGAAAGTTTCAGATGAAAGTAAACCCTCAAAATGTGTTCAGGTTGACGTCGCAAGGACCTCGCTTTTCTCGGAGGCTCACTGAGCCTTCCGTTGTTATGAAATGGAGAGGATTCCCGACAAAAAATGCTATCATACACGGGCGCAAAACTTTTCCGAGCCGTGAGCCCTCTTTGTGTAATGTCGTAAGAAGCCAAAAGGAGTTTAAACCTCTGTTTAGCTGATTTCTTGATGCGTTAAGTAGGACGGTTGAAGTTTCGTATTGTGGCGAGCGCATACTTCACGGCCCTTGCACCTGTGTATTACTGGATAATGTACAATTGTACAAAATTTCATTTTATACGTTTATAACTTGTGCAAGGGGACTGTCGTGCACTTTGCAAGAAACTCTCGAGTCAAAGAAGCCGCGAGAACAAACGCATATATATTGGGTTTGCCCGCTTCGCCTGCTTTCATCATCACCAAGTCGTTTGTTAGCGCTGCTATTCAAAAAGACCAATACTAATAATACGTCTTACCTTATCTCAAATCGTTATCACTTGGCATGTGGCTAGCAGCGGGCATGCACCTCGAACTTTTCCTTAACAGAGTCCTGTCATTCATGTATTTCGATACTTCCGCACTTAAGAGTATATACAACTAACTACCCAAGAGTGGACCATGAATTTCGTACAATCGTACAAAATTGTATGACCAGCCAGTGCTTCGATATGGCGATATTTCATAATGTTTACTGTTGCGTACAACACTCCAAAAACCTACCCTGTTACAAAAGCAGTACGAGTAGTGTGAAATTCAAACATTAAGTGAAATGCTGAAATATTTGAGATTAAAGAAGAGAAAATTATTAATAGATCCAAAATTTTTACTAATATTTTTCTCTGCTTCGATGCTATAATTTCAGTACTAATGCACTCCGCATTTTTTATGTTGCACGTCTGATACTTTACTGCTGTGCCGCTGCTCCTTACCGTGAGATATATAGAGCAAAGATGGCATGTCACTCTACAACGTATTAAAAGATGGAGAGTCCTACCTTAACTGACGAAGCGACCTCGGCCATGGAACTTGCGTGTAATTTACCGGCGCTGGTGGCGCAACTTAAGGCTCTTCGTCAAGATATGAAGCGTAAGTCTAAGCTTTACAATGCGTTCTTGCGAGGGAATGAGTCGATTTTCTCGCCGTCTTCAATGTCGTTAAAAGAAAACCACAGTGGCATGCACGAGACCTTGTTCTCTTCCTACACTGATTCACAGCTGGATCCACGGGCTAGTCAAATTTCGCTTGAAGCCTTGTCTGCTCTGGATGATGCCAACTATTCAAATACACTGGTCAGTCGTCGGTCATCTATTATGAGACAGCAGCAACATAGGTCGTCCTTACGATCGCGGCTGCAAACACGAACACATTCGATGCCGCATATGTCAATGGGACGCATTTGGACGGACAATTACTCGGTTATGTGGGTAAGTGGAGAATGTGGCATTTCACTTCGAAACTTTGCGAGAAAAGACAACAAGATTGGCGCTCAGATTGCAGTGCTGCAACACGCTGACGGAATTACGACTGGTATTAGCAACTGCCGACTTGGTGACCAATTGGTGAGTATAAACGACGAGCGTGTAGATGATTTGAGATTTAATGAGATTGTGGAAAGGTTGAGGACGACACAACGTCCGATTTCTTTGGGCTTTCGGACAAATCAAAATATGCAGACATCACCTAAAGCAGCATCTTCACCTTCTAGCGGATTTAATAAGAATGGATGGTCCAAATTTAGTGGATCAAAGAAGAACAAACAGTCACCACCTTCGACCAGACATTCAGTGAGTAGAGATTGTGATTCTCATTTTTTTAACAGCGAGAGCACGAGTGGTGTACATGAAATTTTGGATCTTTCTGACTACGGTGACGTGACGAATGCACCGCAACATTTTCCAATATCGACCGGTACAATGGTGCAGTCGAGTGCTAGTGACATGACGAAATTTACATTGTCCGATGATGTTGAAAGGTGGTGCAAAGAACAAGAGGAAATGCACTGCGACATCATCGTCATACTCACTGAAACAGTCTTGCGCTGTGAAAAGCTTCAACAGGAAAATCTTGACCAGCTTCAAAATCTCATGCAGCTTTCTTTGTGTAGTCCACTTTTTAGTGACAGAAGCAGTGTGACTTCTTCTGATACTAGTTTTGAAAAGGTGAGTAAGATGGACAGCTGTGATGAAGCAGACGTGGATGCAATTTTGCTTGATGTTTGACCAGCTTGACGATAAAAGTACAGAATGTCAAACTCTCAAGACGTTACTTGTATACGTCGAAGATTATTGTGATTATGGACATGTCTTCGATCTTTCTTTCCTGTTTGCGTCGTGCTGTAGCGTCTATATGTTGGATACAATAATTACTTTGAGGCAGTATGATCACATACAATATTATGTCGACTTTTGTGTTAGTTTTCAATAAAAGTTAATGATATTGTTAGCCAGTAATATATTGGATAAATTGCAACGGTAGGTATTTGCCAAAAGAGCTAGCTACAGACTGACAATTTTGGTAGTGCAGGGGTTTGAAATGAGTTGAATTTGTCCAACGATTTGAACGTCGCAGGCGGCAAGCCGCAGTCTTCTACAGCCTAAATCTGACTATACCGGAGAAACATGACATGAGTAAAGAAAATACACCAACTAATCTGGGTATCAGATCGTCGCTTCTATCAAACAATTTACAATGATTTGATTTTTAACAATAAAATTTTATTACTGTTGAAATGTCAGAAAAGTCTATAACTTTTGCAACTCACCGCTCGACTTTGATTTCTAAATATTTATAATTTATATTTAACTTACATGGAAAACTCCGAGACAATAACATGTGATTGTTGAGCATGCAGCACTATTCGTTAGCTACTCTTACAATCCTTTAAGGCATATTACTACCATTCTAATCGTCGACATCCAACGTATTCGTAACATTTCGCACTAAGCAAAACCTGCACAGGACTGTTCTAGCCAGACAATTTACCAGCTAAGGAGTCTTCTTGCTCGACAGAAACGCTGGTATTGTGCTGCAATTGGTCGATCACATGATGCAGCGTCTCTACGGTGCGTGTAAAGACGAGCTTTGAAAATTCGGCAGGAGCTTTTGTTCGTGAAAACGTTTTCTTCATTCCCATTCCGTCACTAATTCGTGTAGCATCCGTCGAGCCTCGTGAGTTTGAAATCCTTACCAGCTGCAGTCACTTTAGAGGCCGAATTGACCTCTAAAATAACAGTAACGTGAGTGCTGACAATCACAAGTGTCTTATGATACAAACACATAGGACTCTTGAGTCCATAGCAGCTTGCTCAGGCATCACTGCGTGTCTCTCCGAAGGTGAGACTGAGTGCAGCTTCCTTTCAAAACAGTGCCCACCTTGCGTATATGCTCTCTCCGGCGGCGATTTCTCCTGTTATACTCGTAAGGAAACGGGAAAATGTCCATTTTCGGGAACGTATGCCGAATGCGATATGGCTGCAATAAAAAGCTTGAACAGTGGGACGAGTGGGACTGCCACGACACCATCGACAGAACCTAGAACGACAAACACGCCAGTATCGGAAAGTACTTTGATTCCACCCTCTGGAACGCCGGCATCGAGAAATGGGAATCTCAAAAACACAGGCCAGACTGACACAAAAAATAATTCATTTTCAACTGCGATCGAGGCAACTACGGGACCACCTCCAGCGACTTTGGATCGCTTAAGTCCGACTGAGACCCCTGCAACGCCTCCACCCGATTCAGATCCAATAGAATCTCCAGCCGCGCCTTCTTCTTCATTAGATCCGCCCGAATCTCCAGCCACGCCTTCTTCTTCATTAGATCCGTCCGAATCTCCAGCCACGCCTGAATTCGATTTAAATCTGGACAAATCGCCTGTCACGCCTTCAGCAGGTAGTTTAGATTCAAATGAGTCGTTAAAAAATGTTCCAGGCGAGAAGGTCATGGTCAATAGCGTTAAGTCTTCAGCAAGTGCGCCCACAGCTGGCAATATGGTTCTCGTTGGTGGTGCAGTGGCACTTGTAGCGGTAGTGATGGTATTTGTTGTTCGTCGTAGTTTGACAAAAAAGAAATTGGGTGCTTCGAACGGAAATACGGTCTCGTCTGGACACAACAGCGCTTGGTCGGACCGAACGCTTGATACGGATGCTTCTGGACGCAACATCTACGCAACATATGAGTATAAAAATGATGATAAGTCCAAGGATATTACAATGCTGTCAGACTCGCAGGCGTCCAGCACTTTTAGCTCTGGATTTCACGGAAAACCAGCCACAGACTCGAGAACAACGGCTGACTTCTCAAACTTTGGAGGAAATGCAAAGTATTATGCCGACTATAGTGTGAGTTCAGGACCTGATCATGCAACGGCTAATGCAGCTGCTGGTGTAGGTGCCGATGCCCCACTTCACTTCTCAAATAAAAGTGCACATTCAAACACGAAGAAAAACAACAATTTTGTAGATGTTACTGGCTCGTCATCTTCAATGCGAGGATCTGACCTAGAGTTGAGGCGTGCAGGGCAGCATCCATTGACTGTGAGTCAGCTAATGCCAAAAGCCATTCGCGAAGATCAAGAAGAAGGTTCCGGCACTCGACGACGGCCAGAAAGTAAACAGTATGATGCCGCACAAGCTCCTTTCTATCATTTACAAACTGCCAAATCTGCTGTTAGTCCTCACGGTAGTAGCCAAATGTTTGATGTCTCAACGACTAGCAGTATGTACGACATTGTCGACCCGATGACAATGCGTGATGTTGAGTCACGAAGCACAGAAATGTATGCAGTGGACAATCAATATCCAAAGTTCTCGTTTGCATCTTCAGCTGCTTCCTCAGGCATTTACGATGGCGATTGGTCTGAAGACGAGAGTATTGACGGCAGTCGAGTACACGAACATGTTGTGGAACACATGATTTAAAGTATCAAGTAAGCCGAAAATCGGACACTTGACAACCGTGTCGTTGTCAATTTCTGCGATGTTAAACTTTATTCATTCGTCCGTTCGCCAAGTTTAATTGATATTATATCATCGCAACGTTTATCGTAGCTGCGAGAATTATGAGCACACAGACGAAGGAGAGCGGATATATCTACTATAGAAAAGGTTTGCTAATTAAGTTGTTTGTCAACGTCTTTAACTATATATTAAACTCTAACAAATGGTCGGCAAAAATCAAAATCTCATCTTGAAAGAAACGTAGGAGTTATATTCCCCAGCGCAAATTTCTAGGCGAATTGTTCAAGATACCAAGTTTGGGATCCCTTTCTGCCATGATGCTCTAAGCCCTATGGACGTACTTTACAGAGGGTAGATAAGAAATTGTACGGGTATAGTCCGGCACCCTGACAATAAGTTTTAATTGTAAGGCTATATCAGTTACAGCATTATGACAGTTTCACCGAGACAAGTGGTGCTATAATCTCGAAAATCCAGAGATTGATTCTAATGGGACGAAGTAAAGCGACTGGGTGATGTGATCTCTAGAGTAAGATTTCGCGGAGGCGTGTCAGAGCTGCTCTGTGTCGCGGTCTCAAGTAAGAGATCCTGGTAGTGACAGGCGACTGTAAGCTGCCAGCAAAGGCCAGACCCTGACGATTGTAAGGATGGTCTATTCGTGCACGATATAACGCGACTGCTGATGAGCAATATCACGCGTCCATCGTGTTCAGCTACCAGCAGCACGTAACTTTTTTCGCTCGTGAATGGAGTACCCGGGGTAATTCTATGAAATGTAAGTTCTTAGGCAGAACCTCATGGTAAACTTGAAATCATTTCAGGAAGTTTGTGCAAAAAATCGCTCGATTGTCAAGTCACCGATTTGGTTAGAATGATACCCAGAGCAAGGGCTGCGCTTGTCATCCAGTCCGCTCCCGCTATTGAAGATACCCTAAAAGCATATAGAGCAAGAGATAAAATGTCTATTCTAAGATTTCTATTTGTTCTTTGTTTAAGGTATATCGCGCCATAATGACAAGAGACTCAACATGCGTGTTACTCCCATATGGGGAGTGTGTCAAGAAATTGACTTGGTTCCTGAATTCAAATATTGTGTCACAACAAAAATGACTCTTACCAAGGAAACAGTGCGATATCATATAGGCTTTCCTCGTTGGAAAGCGCAAATCGGGAGTGAGTCATAGCGTTATCTTGCCGCCCGACAGGGCAAGGAGTAATTGGTGGACTTTGTCCAAGAGTTGCGTACTCTCTTTGCCGGTATTGCAGCCAATCCTCCCCACGACACTGTCACAGTGATCGTCTTTATAGAGAGCCTCCTCACTGGCGTGGACAGAATGGAAGTCTTCCGTGTTCAGCCGACTACTTTTGCAGAAGCAGTGAATGTGGCATTGAATGCTGAACTCAACTTCAAGACGGCACGACTTGGTCGAAATGCACACACTAGCAGCTCGTCGAGCAGGCCTGAGTCTATGGATCTTAGCTTTGCTGAAAAGAGGAGGCAGAATCACCGAGATGCCGGGCAGCGTTCGACCATCCGATGACGTTTTGTCTGGGGAGACACCCGTCACCTTTGGACGGGCTGTCCCTTGCGCAAAGCGCGTATAGGTTTGTCGAACTGACGTCCCACTTCTTATCAGCCTCGTTCGTTGCGGGGAAGCGACGACACCCAGTAGGCGCAGGGCGCGTTCCTGGGGGAGAGCTGAATTATGTTGAGACTCAAAGAGGTAGAGGTCAGCAGAAACCAGCCTCAAAGATCTCCGTGCTCCTGAACACGGAACGTGGAATCAAGCTGGGCATGCTGGTCGTGGAAACGACCGTGCTTTGAGAAGCCATGGAAGTCCCTGATCAACCCCGGGGCGTCGAACATAATTGCACGATAGGAATTAAGCTGTGTGCTGAGGCCCCGAAAGCGCGGTTAGGTGGTAACGTCGCTGTTTGCTTGGCGACAGGGACATATCCCACGGTGCCGACGGTCCCTGTGGACCTGGTGTCAAGCTTCTTGACCTTGCTAGCGTAAAACGCTGCTTAGTATTAGACTTGGATCAAGGTATGACCTCATCCTTGGTATGGCATGGTTGGAGCACCATTTGCCATGAATTAATTAGAGGTCGAAGGCCTCGGGCGCAACGCGCACGTTTCCTGGTGGAGCTTTAGTGATTCATGAACCTACATCTGCCAGGAAGTAGAAACGCTATTGGCGCGGGCACTGTTCCAGGACGGTGATCGTGCCGGAGTATTCGAGTTGTCGAAGACGGAGGGTGTATCGGACAGGAGTCTTGAGCATGGCTCGCGGGCTGAACATGGAGTGGTACGTAACCCACTGAGCGCTGCCCAAGTATTAAAGCAGTCGCTGCAAGCCATGCGTGGTATGATCGGCGAAGGGCGGAGGCATCAAGGGCAAGACCCCAGTGATGCACATGGAGTGGAACGTAATCCACTGAGCACTGCTCACGTATCGAAGCATTGCTGGATGCCAAGAGTCTCATGGTCGGACGAGGTCTGAGACATCATGGACATAGCCCTTTAGGTGTGCGTGGAGTGGCACGTTATCCACTGGAAAAAGACTGCGGAACTAGCAGCTCTTCGTCGGATGTTGTTAACAGCATCAGGCTTCGGTGGCGCAGGAAGTGGGCTGACATCGGACGACGCTGAGTGCATGTTTACACGGGTCTCACCAAGACGTACAACCTCCGTGGAGAGGCGACAGTGACGCCGTATGATAGCTACAAGACGCCGCCGCAGACCGATCTACAAACTGACCGCGGGAACCGCATCGCTGAAGACGTCCTCCGCAACGTCTGCGCGGAGACGCCGAGGCGCTAAAGCGTCATGCTGCAACTTACGGAGTTTGCATTGAACACTGCAGTTCATGCATCTACCGGCTATACGCGTTACCACGCCAGTAATGGTGCATGAAGGAGGCTGTCTTTGAGTCCGTCAAAAGCCTTCCGATGCTCGGTGTCCCAACACCATTCCGCACATTTTAAGGAGATTTGACAATGGCCGTTCAATTTTCGCTAGATCGTACTATTCTAGTGCAAGTAGTTGGTAAGGCCATGCCACTTGCGCATGTTCTCTTGCTACTTTGGAGCCGGCCAGTCCACAGTGGCCTTGACCTTTGCAGTATCCGCTCGAAGGCCACGCTACCCAATAAAGTACACTCAATTTTTTTTTCAGCGCCGAAGATGCACTTATCTGCACCAACATACAGCTAATTTCTGCGCCTACACTCAAGCACTCCCTTTAAATAGACGGTGCGATTCTCTTCATCCGACTTCTCGCGCCCTGCACGACTGTGGACGAAAATGCCGTCGAAGTATGTATGTGCATACGCCCGTTGGGGCATGAACAACTGTGTCACAAGACGATCAAATGTTGCTGGTGCTCGCAGCTGTTTGACAGCCCTTGGGGTATCACCAGCCACTCACATAACATGCCACTCGGAGTACACATTGCTGTCAGCGGAATATCACTCACTCCAATGAGTAATTGGCAATACCCATCGACCAAGTCGAAAGCACTGTACTTTGTACATCCCACCATGTTTTGCTGAGGAATATCCTTTTTACAAATTAGCGTATGTGCCGGAATAATGGCAGCGCTTAGCTTATTTTAAGCGTGAACGATACGTCACTTGCCGTTGGGGGGTATCCGAACACAAAATGTGGGTGTCGAATGGGGATACTTGCTCTCCCGCACCTTTTCTGCGTCGTGTTTTGTACGGAAGAAGGCAACAATGACGACACACTGCTTCTAGGGCAGGGACAATTGGCGTGTTACGCAGTATTTGGTTCCCGGAACGAGTTCGATCCAATGACGCACACCTCGGTCCGGAGGTAGGACCGGCAGCTAATCTTTGGAGACGACGTCTAAAAATTCCCTAACAAAAGGATAGTACGGATACGAAAGTTTCTTGAAGGATCGAAGATCAACTTATTGCGCTCAGCACCCTCTTGGTGTCCTCCTGTAGAAGTGACGACGAGCTGATCTCCTCTTCCGGTCGTATAAGGACCACTTCGGATGGGCCACCTTCAAGACACCGAACGCTTCAAAGGACATCTTGGACAGCTCAAGAAGAGCATCCACCCCATGAATAGCATCGAGGGTAACGTCGCCATCTTTCTCCCCCGCCATACCGTTGACGAGGATGTATAGCTGTGCGCCATCGTCTTCATCCTGGATATGGTCCGCTGTTGCCATATACAACTTGGTGCCCAGCACCTTGAAAATTGTAGACCAAGACTTCATAGTGAAGCGCGGGTCTCAATCAGAAACGATTGACTCCGAGAGTTCATGTTGTCGAAGACACGATCCACATACAGCGTCGCTGTACCCACACCGTCGATGTGTCTGGCACTGCTGCAAGATGAGCCATCATTCTCAAACGGTCAACACAGACCACGAGAACCGTGTTACCAGCCGAGTCCTTGTGCACAGCTGCAAGCAACAACCGAGGGGGGTATCGGGTGATCGCGCTCAAACCTCGCCAGCTTAAGGAGGCAGAGAAGAACTACCCAATCCACGACAAGGAATTCCTTGCAATGAAATATGCACTTGTCAAGTTCAGGGTGCACCTACTCCGCTCCAAGCCGTTTGTGATCTACACAGATCATGTGTCACTACGCACTGCAACTCAGTCGCCTCAACTCTTGCGAAGGATGGCCAATTGGCTCTGTCTTATAATTACGAGGTGTAGTATAAGCCATGGAAGCAGAATGCTTTGGCTGATGCGTTGTCGCGTAGACCGGATGTTGAGCTTGCTCTCGTCACGATGGTAGTGACAGATTGATCCACACCGCGTACGCGTGATGATATGAGCGTAGCGCTGCTACGGGCTCTTGGGAGCAAGGAGTTTGAAACTCGAAAAATAAGTTGTCGTCACGACTGCGTGCCCGGTTGCATTGACATCCGTCGAACAACGGGTTGCTGAATTATAGCACCGACTCGACGGGTACGCCACC